CATTTTTTAAAGTTTATGACAATTAAGTAGGAAAAAGTAAGGCCATACTCTTACACAAATAAATTTCTCTGAACTAATTTTTTCAAAGAATTATAGAATTCTAGTATGTAGGTAAACCATAAATCTGTTCTTGCTAGTACATTATGATCTGTAGATAAGAACTGTTGGTTAATTTAACATCTGACAGTGTGATTAGCCATAATTACTAATATGCCAATAGAATAGAGTCTAACCTTAATTTAAAGTACAGTAGTTGATTATCTGAGTTAGAGTATGTAACTCACCATACTATGTCTTTGGAATCATGAAATCTTAAGACTTTAGAATGATTTTATAGGTTGTCTTCTATACTAACCTCATATTCAAAGTAGGCAAGGTAAAGAACAAAGAATAAAAATACATTATTTCAAGTGTTAAAAAATAAAATTTTGAATTCTCTCTCCAAAATTAACTAACTCTTTGATTATACTTTGAAATGAACTTTTTGTCCCACTATTGTTCATGATACAATAAAACTATTTTTCCTTAATTTATCAACCAGATGGCAAACCCCTATGTGGTAGGCCACTCTACTACACTAAATTATAGACCCAGCAATGCTAATATACAATTATTTTCTTCCTGAATACATTTTTAATTTCATTTAAAAATATCCTCCAACAACTCATAAAACAACAGAAGTAAAAATTGGCGTTGGAAAATATATTCACCAAAATTTGGTAATTTAAGTTGACTCAGTTTAAAATTAAGTCTAAAACAATTTACACCTATACTGCGTAATCCAATAATTTTAACTTCAGTTCATGACATATTAATAATATAGCAATTATTAGAGGAGTAGAGAATGTGTAATTTACTATATGATTTTCTAAAATATGACTACTAAAAGAATTTGAGAAGTCAATATGGACCTTGGTTTGTAACACAAATGCTGCTAACGGAACACTGAAGGAGACATTTGTTTTAAATTTTTCTGAATCCCTGAGAGGTACTAGAGATGGGGAGTGGGACAGTTTTGGTTCACTGATATCTGAAGAACAGAGGAAAAAGCGGTCTCATACTGATAGGGGGATTTCTTGAGGGAACTCTCATGTATAGGTTGGAAATCCCTAATATCAACTTGAAAGCTTATAAATAACAAGCGATACATTCACCTCACTGGTGTGAGTATTATCCATGCAAAAAGTAACCAAGTTCTATAATTAGCTGCACTGATCTTAAAAATAAGTGGAAAATCTGAAATGACAAGTTCTATTCCTTTTATTACATTGTTCATTACAACATCAACTTAAACTATAAACTGTGAAGTGATGGGGTTTTTCCCAAGCAAAAGAGAAATACAGAATTTTTTTGTTTTTCATTCTGCCTTTAATAAAAATTAAAACCTTATACTCCAGGATTACAGAATACTGTAACTCAGATTATAATGTAGAACAAAAACCCATTCTTTAAATGGAACTTATTTATTCTGTTTATCATGATGTGTAAAGAGCAAGATATAATAAAACAATGTATTTTAAAAAATTTAAGTACCACATGTTCAAATATTTTCTACTGCAGAATAAATTCTCATCTTAATTTATAGGGTACTAAAAATGAACTAATTTTTAAATGTTTAATGTCTTTTATATTTTAGTTGGTTCAAAATGTTTATTTAATGCAAATCACCTATATTAAAATGAACCTTCTTGAACTCAGAGAAATCACTCTATAATACACTCAGGGTTGATATGATCATACAACAATCTAATTACAAGTAGTTTTGATTTTGTAGGTTGTTTTTGGTGACTTACCCCAAATAAAATAAGATCAAGATTTCCTAACCAGACACAAGAGGGCAGACCTTCATAAAATAATGAACTTCCTACTACCTAAAAATTACTTTTCTTTGATTATTTTTGAGTCTTCTGGCAACCTGGGGAAATTATAAAATCTCAAAAAAGATCTCTTCTGCTAAATAACAGCACACTTTAAATGTCTAAAAATTATATGCCAAAACTATATAGAAAAGTTGACACATGACAAAAAGTCAAACATATTACTAATTTTATTTATTAAAACATGTAAAAAATCAATTATAAGCTTTTTAGCTACCTAGGGAATGTATCATAATGTCATAGCCTATCTACAAAGAGCGTTATAGTGTCCATATCTTTCAATGTACAGTTATATCATCTTAAGAAAATTAAAGACAAAACAGGGTGCAAAAACAAGAATAAAAGTAAGAAAATTTTCTTTTGGAGGATGTAAAAGGACACATAAAATGCTCTTACATTAAAACTTTTTCATTCTTATGTTAGAGAAAAACCAAGTCAATTTAACTTCGTCATTTTATCAAACTTTTTATTTATATTTTTGATTTATATAAGAGAACTTTTCCAGTAAAATATGTTGAAATCATTTGGTGCCAGTATCTTGACTGATCAAGACCCTCCATGATTTAAAAAGGCACAAAATTTTATCTTCATCTTTTTAATGATTGCAACCCAGAACTTAGAAACATCCTAGAGCATATAAGATGAGAAAGGAGGATCAACAACTTTGTCAATAAAAAGACCGCTTCCTCATTACTGTCTGGGAGATCCACTGTGAGCTTTAGAAATCCAATGCACACTGCTGTGTGTAGAAGCACACACCCTCGGTTCCCCTCCCACCTCTTCCTCTGCTCTCAAAAAAGGAAATGCAAGAGGGACCTGGAAAGGGATCCATTCTTTCCAAAGAGAAGACAAGACTGTACTGTTTGTTTTTCTCTTCTGTCATGGTCCTTGTGGGGTCAGACAGTTTTGGGGGAGGGTAGGGGGAGGGTAGGAGGAGAGGGGTGATAGAGAACAGAGGAAAGAACCAAGGACAGTGGTGGACACTGCACGTGGAGGCCTGTATCCCAGCCAATGAGGGCACAGATGGCTTCTCTCCACTCACAAAGGAAAAGGCTTCAGAGTACTATCTGCACTCAGCTGACTTAGTAGGAAACCATGGGAATTAGGAATACCATGCACATAAGACTATGAGGTTGGCTCAATAAGTACTCTGGACTGAGTCCTAAGAAGAGCAAAACTTCCATGTTACAATATTAACCTTTTCAGGGAGAAAAGGTAGAGAAGGAGGCTGTGAGGATCAAATGAGATTAAAGATTGAGAGCTACTAAGTTCTATATAAATCTAGGGTGGTGTTAGATTGTCACTCTCAGCCAATTCCTTTTCTTAGTTGTAAGAGTTGTTTTTTTCATGGTGAGAGTTTAGCAGTTGTGCTTGAAAATCATACACATTCTCACAATTTATCAGATGGGCTGATCCTTACTAAGGCTCTTCCCTTTATGCAAAAATTAGACTAAAAGGAAGCCAATGTTTTAAAGAGTCTTAAAAAGCAAGTAAGATGAGAGCTTTAAAAGTAAGGATAGTGCTTGGAGGTCCCAAGGAGAAAGCATTTAAGAATTTTTTCCTGTAGTGGTTCAAGAAGAGAATTAGAAGGGAAGCAGTCAATTAAATATTGCAATTGAAGTATCTAAGTTTTCTTTACCTGGTTTCATCTTTCTACTCCAAAACATAAAAGCACTATAAAGAGACCATCTCAAATAAGGTTAATCAAAAAGTAGACCTTTCCAGGGTGCATGCACTGGAATTTTGTCCCTTATAGCCTTCTTCCTTTACTATGCACTGGGAAGATGATTTAAAATTTAAGTTTTGCTCCACAATGGATCTCCAAGCTCCCTACCCTCTCTACATTGCTTCAAGGTTGGGGAAAACTTTGTTTACAGCAGAGGTTCCTACAAGCGCAATGAAAGAAGGAGAGAAGTGGTGCTTGCTCCTTTAAATTCACCCAATTTTCTCACTTACCTACCTTTCTATCGCTCCTACTTCAGGTTGGGGTAGAATACTCAGCCCCTCTGGACAACTCCAACTCTGGGTAAAGACACCAGCTGGAGAAACAACTGCCCAATCCCTGTTCTCTTAGAATCATAAGCATTTGAGAACTAAAATATGATAGTATTTGAAAAATTAGGTTTCCTATAGTATTTGAAAAATTAGGTTTCCTATGTTTTAATCACTTGAATCCATAAATCACAAATAAATCTGGTTAATTTGCTCTTTTCTGATTTGCAATTCAGACATCATAATGAAGCTTCTGTTTGGTTATGTGGTTTAAATATACATAATCAAGATTATAAGAACTGTTTCAACAACAAGTGTAAAGAAGGCACATGGGTGTGTGGAGGGTTCTCCTGTGAATGTAGCATATTAGGTTGTGTCTGTGTTTTGGGGCTTTCTAAGACTTGTGAGGTTCCTAGATAAGTGATCTCCTTATCCTTTCATAGAATATATTCCTTTAATCTTTATTATTTTTCATTAGTAGTAGTAACGAATAGTAATTTAAAACTTTTACTCATAAAATGCTTTCCTTAAACTGATAAGTAAATCTTGACACCTGATTTAATTTTTTAAAAAATAAGCACATCTGTTTTATAAACCTAAATACATATCGACCATTACCAAAACTTCATAAATGACTTTAGTTCCACCTTCTCATTTTATAGATGAAGAAACTGAGGCCGGAGACATTAAACACTAAGTGAGAGGTAGAGAAGCATCCAGATTCTGAATCTGGTGGAACCAGAAACAAAATCCAAGACCCCACACTCCCAAGTCAATGTTCTTTCCATTATACCACTCCAGCTCCTTTGTTTCTGTCTCAAGTTTCCTTAGACCCAACATGTTTTGCTTTGTTTATTTTTACACCCATTTAACAAATGAGAAGGAAAGTAAAGACCGAGTTAGGTACAAGGTTTTAAGCTTTTCACATTAATGAGTCTCAAATTGTCTTTAAGTTTTGTTTATCGATGCAACACTTTTCGAGTTTATAACATTTATGCTTACTAACTTGCAGGGGAAAGGAAAAGCAAAACAATCTGTGGCTACGAACACATTGTCATACACTACAGCAAGTGTGCTGTTATACTCATAACATCCACTGGGGGGAAGCAAACACTAGATTTTGAGCCTTACCTGCATTGGTGATATACTTTCTTGTCGAAACTCTTCAATTTGGTGCTGTTGCCAAGGAGCTAAACTGTAAGCGTCCTCTGTAGTTCTACCTTCCAAAGGATTTGTCTTCAACTGCTCTGTAAGCCACATCTGTGTCCTCACAGAAGGCTGAATGGGAACTCCACCTACTGCCTGCTGAGCAAGCATTAAGTATTTCGGAGGTTCAAAAGTCTCTGAGCTCGTCATAATAGGTTTGCTCTCAGGTAAGGCACTATATGTCATGTCTAAGGTCTGTCTCCGAAGAGTGGAGGAAGAAGCTCTAAAGTCTTCTTTGCTACAGCTCTCAAATTTATATTTGCAGTCCAGAGTTGATGATCGTTTTTTATTTATTTCCTTGTCCTCTAGCTTAAGCATCTCCATACTATCATGTAAACAGCTGGGCCCAACTGTCCTTAGTTGTGATGCTAAAGCCTTGCCTCTCCCTGCCTTTTCCAAACCACTCCTTGACTCTCCAGTGTTGACACCGCCACTCTGGCTGCAGCCATCTGGGGCAGGGAGTTTGGATAAAGATGACCATTTCCGGAGGGGCTGGAAGTCTTTCATGTCTAGTGAAGAGTCCTGCTCTGCTCTATGGTGGTTTCCCAACGTTTGCATGAGGCTCGTGCTCCATTGTGAGCCATCTGATGTCAACGGTTCCCTGTGTTTGGAAACTGAAGCACTGGAGTTGGACGGCATGACATGGGCAGTAGGAAGAGTAACCAATGATCGACTAGGCTTAAAAGATAACGTGCCACTTGAAGTTGAATGATCTGGAAAGAGAAAAGAACGCTAAATGAGCTGCAATTAACAGGGGGAAAAAATGAAGCAAATGCCAAAACAAAAATCTGAATATGGGTTCCCAGCACAAGTTTTTCAAAATAAGAGACTTATTATTATTATTCCTTTAAGTCTATCTGAAACAAATCAAACATACTTTCAAACATTATTTTCTAAAAATGGATACATAACAAAGTGTATATCCATTTACCATCTACTTACAAATGAAAAATGACTGGACAATAGGTTTATAGTTACCCTATTTAATGTAAGTATTGTGCCTTTAAAAGAAACATCCATCTCCCTACTGAAAGGTCTTACTCATAATTTAGCACTGAAGCCTCAGACACAACTCTATCAGAAAATGGTATTTTTCAGTGTCTTTCCTAAACTGTGGAAATGTATGGCAAATCTGAACATTTTAGTACCACCCCAAACTCTAACTCAAATCAGAAATACGGGTAAAGGAGCTCCTGCAATAATGGAAAATAATCAGAAAGGGTTCTAGCAATATATTTGTGGATATGGAATAATTCCTACATTCCTGGTCTCCTTTAACGGCATCATCAATGATGTATTTCCCAAGCTAGAACTCTTGGAGTCTACTGTGATTCCTATCTTTCTCTGTACATTCAATAAATCCTCAAGTTGTAAATTTTTACTTCCAATATGATTAAACAGCTATTGCCTTCAGTCAGGACTTCACATAATATTATTCTACACACAGGAACAGTTTTAGAGCCTCTGTGGAAGCCCAATAGATAAATAAGGGCCTCTATACTCAAAGAACTTAACCATCAAGTGCTCAACTATCATCAAATGTGCCAAATTAAAATCTAGGATTATATCCAAGATGACATAAAGAAATGGAAAGATATCCCATGCACATGGATTGGAAGAATAAACATAGTTAAAATGTCTATATTACCTAAAGCAATCTACAGATTCAATGCAATCCCAATCAGAATCCCAATGACATTCTTCACAGAAATAGAAAAAAGAATACTAAAATTTATATGGGGCAACAAAAGACCCCGAATAGCTAAAGAAATCCTAAAGAAAAAGAACAAAGCAGGAGGCATCACAATCCCTGACTTCAAAACATACTACAAAGCAATAGTAATCAAAACAGCATGGTACTGGCACAAAAACAGACACACAGATCAATGGAACAGAATTGAAAGCCCAGAAATAAAACCACACATATACGGACAGCTAATTTTCGACAAAGGTGCTAAGAACATGCAATGGAGAAAGGAAAGTCTCTTCAATAAATGGTGTTGGGAAAACTGGACAGTCACATGCAAAAGAATGAAAGTGGACCATCTGCTATCGCCATTCACAAAAATTAACTCAAAATGGATCAGAGACCTGAAGGTGAGACCTGAAACTATAAAACTCATAGAAGAAAATATAGGCAACACACTATTTGACACTGGACATAGAGGAATCTTTTCAGATGCCGTGCCTACCCAGACTAGGGAAACTAAAGAAAATATAAACAAGTGGGACTTTATCGGATTAAAGAGCTTTTATAAGACAAATGAAACCAGAATCAAGATGAACAGACAACCCACCAGCTGGGAGAGAATATTTGCAAAACATACATCTGACAAGGGGTTGATCTCCATAATATATAAAGAACTCACAATTGAACAACAAAAAAACAAACAACCCGATCAAAAAATGGGCAGAGGAAATGAACAGACACTTCTCCAAGGAAGATATACAGATGGCCAAGAGGCACATGAAAAGATGCTCAACATCACTAATCATCAGGGAAATGCAAATCAAAACAACACTAAGATACCACCTCACGCCTGTTAGAATGGCTATAATCACCAAGACAAAAAACAACAAATGTTGGAGAGGATGTGGAGAAACAGGAACCCTCATACACAGCTGGTGGGAATGCAAATTGGTGCAGCCTCTATGGAAAACGGTATGGAGATTCCTCAAAGAATTAAAAATAGAGATGCCCTATGATCCAGCCATCCCACTACTGGGAATCTATCCAACGCACCTGAAATCAACAATCCAAAGAGGCTTATGCACCCCTATGTTCATTGCAGCATTATTCACCATAGCCAAGAAGTGGAAGCAACCTAAGTGTCCCTCGACTGACGATTGGATTAAGAAAATGTGGTATATATATACAATGGAATACTACTCAGCCATAAAAAAAGACAAAATCGTCCCATTTGCAACAACATGGATGGGTCTGGAGCGTACTATGTTAAGTGAAATAAGCCAGAAAGAGAAAGACAAACACTGTATGATCTCACTCATATGTGGAATATAAACCAACACATGGACAGAGAAAACTGGACTGTGGTTACCAGGGGCACTGGCGTGGGGGGTGGGCACAAGGGATGAAGGGAGTCATATATATGGTGATGGACAAACAAAAATGTACAACCCAAAATTTCACAATGTTAGAAACCATTAAAAAATCAATAAAAAAAAAAAATCTAGGATTATAATTTTAATCAGAGGATATCCAGAAAGAGGACAGCAATTTGAAGTGTGGGGGGAGAGGAGGTGAGTGATGAAAAGCAACTTCCATAGTTTATTCTATATATTTTCATACTCTTTAACTCATATTATATTTAAATATTACTTGTGAGCTTTGATATTGTTTTAAAGAAATAGAGTAATGGGAAAAGAAATGTTGAGACAGTCATAATAAAATTCAGATGAGAAAGAGCCAGGCAAATTAATTCAAAAAATGGAATTCTAGTAGGGTTTTGCACAAAATTTATTTACCTGGAGATGAAAAAGGAAAAACATTACAGATGGAGGAATATGAGCAAAAGCATTATAGTGGATATTTATCATATTCAAGCTCTCCATCAGCTTCTGCAGAACCTTTCTGTACGCAGGGAAATTCCCACATTATAAGATTAACCTCCCAAAACAAATGTTACATCTCAAATTCCCAACATACTCTGCAACTATGATGCAGACATTCGGAAGCACCTGCACAAGATTTCAGTTTGGAAGTGAGTCACGTGAGAAAATGGGCTCTGTGTGGAGCAACCATTTTTGGCTGGAATGGGTAACAGCAGAGGCATCGGCCTTTCACAATGGCGGCAGCAGAGGCAGCCAAAGCGAGTCCAGCCCAGAAGGGCAGCAGCTGGGCAGCACTGGCGGTTTCCTCCAGTGCTTGGTGGGGCAATGGAGTGACAGTTCTCAGGGGTGATTTCAGGGGTGAAGCCTGGTTCTCCAGCCCTCCCCCGAAATTCTGTGAGGTACCAAACACCCTTAAATTCCTCATCTGCTCAACCAGCCAGTCAGCTTCTTCTGCTGATTGGGAACACTAACTGATCCAAGCGTGAAGCCAGGAGAATGTGGCTCCAAAAGAAGAAAGCCAATTCTCTCGTTTATCTGCAGTACGGAGTAAGGGTCAAGAAAAGTTGCTGAAGATCACTCGTGACAGGTAAAGGTGATGCAGAGTCCGACGAGTCTTCAAACGCCCTGCTGAAGCAAGAGCCTGGCCTCCATTCTGCAGGAAATATGGTATCACTGAAAGCTTCCAAGGCGGAGTGACATGATCAAAACAGTACTCAAGATGATGACTCGGGCAGCAGTGCTAAGGATGGACCAAAGCAAAACGCTCGGGAGCAGAAAGACTGACTAGCATGGTAATCAGTAGAAGGAAACAGAGGGGAATATGCTACTGAAGGTCAGTTCTAAATAAAAATAGGACAAATGTCCCCCAAAAGACTATGGAATATTTGTATTAATATAGTATTATATCTATTTTTACAAATGTATACATGTTTGTGTTATTATTCCTAAAGGAATATTTGTATTCACATCATCACAGCCTCTTAAAAATATCTTTATTTTTTTAAAAAACAAACCAAAAAATGAATTTTACATCAAATTTGAAATTTTCAGTTTTTTACATTTAAAAAAATTTGTAAGTAAAGATATAAAGTAAAGGCTAGCTATAACAGTTTTGAAATCAGACTTTGTAGATTCAACTCCCGGCTCTACCACTTGTCATGTGTGCGCAAACAAGTTATTTAACCTCTTTGCATCACAGTTACCTCATTCATAAAGTGGAGATGACAACAATAAGGATTAAATGAAATAATACACATAAAGTACTCAGAAGAATTCCTGGCACAAAGCAAAATGTTAGTTATAATTACACGATTGAAAAAGCTAAAAGAAAATGTTATTTTCCATATAGCAGACAAAAGGTTAAATACCCATACTATACAAAGAACTCCAACAAATAAAAAAACTAACAATCCAATTTTTTTTAATTTTTTTTTTTTTTGCGCCCAAAGCCCCAGTAGATAGTTGTATGTCACAGCTGCACACCCTTCTAGTTGCTGCCTTCTAGTTGCTGTATGTGGGACTCGGCCTCAGGATGGACAGAGAAGTGGTGCCTCGATGCGCACCCGGGATCCGAACCCGGGCCGCCAGCATCGCAGCGCACGCACTTAACCACCAAGCCACAGGGCCGGCCCATAACAATCCAATTTTAAAATAGGCAAATGAGGGCCGGCCCAGTGGCATAGTGGTTAAGTTTGCGCACTCCGCTTTGGTGGCCCGGGGTTCACGGGTTCAGATCCCAGGTGTGGACCTACGCACCACTTATCAAGCCATGCCGAACAGGCATCCCACATATAAGGTGGAGGAAGATGGGCATGGATGTTAGCCCAGGGCCAATCTTCAGCAAAAAGAGGATTAGTAACAGATGTTAGCTCAGGGCTAATCTTCCTCAAAAAAAAAAAAAAAAAGGCAAAGGAAATCACCAAATAGAAATACAAAATAAAGAATATACGTTAAAAAAAAAAGATGCTCAAACTCATTAATAGTAAAAGTGCATTCCTTATTATATTCACAAAATTATTAAAAGTTGCTAATACCCTACAATGATGGGCACACAAATTTTTACAGCCTTCAGAAGAAGAAGGGCAATCTGTCTGTATATATCAATATTTAAAACATGCGAATATATATAAACACGTGCATA